ACTCAGTCCGTCAGGACATAGAAGTGGTTCTTGGACCTTCGGTATTCGGTCTTCGGCGTTGGCGAAGAGAATGGGTCGTACTGTCCAGGTCTGCAGCCACGGATCGTCGCGCGTGGACATAATTGAGGCCGGTTAGATCAGTTATGATTGCAGCCGTAACAAGTACAAGTAAGTAAGTGGTGGTGTTATTAGATGTAATAGCATTCGTTAATAGTATTAGCACCAACAGTGGTGGAGGTAGTAATAGTAGTGTTACCAGCAGTGGTGGTGGTGGTGGTGACGGCGGTAGTCATAGTAGCAATCAACTATAAGGTCCTTGAGCTAATCCAGTTATTTTGATGGTGTTCATTGAATCGGATGTTTTTCGTCGACTGAGAACTTAACTGATGACTATTTGGATTTCAAAGTCAGCCTAGATTTCCTTGCTGGGAGCCCAGGTTGCGTTGGGTTGCCGTTCCTTTGCACTCTTAAAGCAGTTCACACGCGGTACATTGGGTGCAGATGAGAGGTGCACTTTAAGGCGCGTGCGGGCGAACACATGGCCGTATCCACAGACGGCGCCGGCTTCCGCATCACTCTTCTATCTGCTCTAATGAATTCAACCGCAAAACCTTAAGCTGACTCTAATGTATTAGGTTAGGGCAGCACTTGATAGGGCTTCTGATGAACGAAGTTAAGTTGATGCAAGTGTTGCCGGAAAAGTGATGCAAGTTTCGCAAGACCGTTTTGTGATCGACTCCAAGTACTGCGTTTTCAGGCGAATTGCGAGAACTATAGTGGCATAAGTCTCATCAACGTTGCTCCTCATGTCTTCACTAATGTGATCAGAAGATTCCAGTCTGTACGGGACACTAGGACGAGGCCCTACCATGCCGGATCCCGAGCTGGGCTTGGGTGCACAGACCAGATATTCACACTGAGGCGCATTTTGGGATTCCGCCATGGCTACCAGAAACCGACAGTCGTCTGCTTTGTCGACTTCGCCACCATGCTTGGTTCCGTCCGTCGTGAGTCCGTATGACCAATAATGGAACTAGATGGGTACCGACTTAAATCATTGCCGTAATCAAACCCGAAATTGTCACCGCATTTGCGCTTGTCGGGTTTTCTCGATCCTTCGAAAGCGCCCATGGAGCTGACACGACATCTTCATCATCACGAAGATCTATGTGTACCGCATATCCGTTTAGTTAGTCCTCTGTGGATGCTAATGCTGAGT